ATTCATAAATTAATTTCTACTCCACTAAAAGAAATTAATTGAACTCCAATTAAATAATAAATAACCTCTAAGTCAATATTGCACTTTGACCCCTCTATGCATAATTAGTTATCGGATAAATATAGCCATCAATCCGACTACTTAATTAATATATTTATTTTGGTACATTTGATTATTTCTGGCTCGATCACAATAAAACATTTGTTCGACAAAAATAATAATTTAAATAAATAAATATATAATAAATCATTTTGTCTAAAAACACACGAAGGCCTTCGAATTTACTTTGTGATCAACCATAATCAATACAAAATAAATACAAGTAGCAATAATGCAAATATTGAAAATATAACTCTCTAACTATTAATTACATAACTACCCAAAGTGTCGGTCTAAGGATCCCGAAGAATCCGCTGAACAAATCAAAGTAATTATTAATTAATAAAAGAGTCTATACTTTTCTCATGCTTAAGAGTCAAATGCCATGACGGTGATAGGGAGTAATTGCATACGACGGCTCTCGCAATATATCTCAACCTAACGCGGATCTAATTCAAGTCTTAATTAATTATGAGTCCATCCATAATTACCGACTATGAACAATTTATAATTACTATTTATATATCATGCATTGATTGCCATCACATACATATATATAAATATTTCTTGTAATTACATGGACACTATCAATTTCATAGTGAATCGAAACATAATACATTGAATTCACCAATTATATAAATCATAAATATTTCAGATATGTCAGGAACATATGTCAATACAATCCAGATAGGAATTTGCTATGCCAGGGCATATAAATCCCAACAGTTTATCCAAGCAATTTCAGGAGTCTCATTGGATCGAGTAACATTACCAGGGACATCCTGATCCATCCCAAATTGCATTGCAACGCGATGTGGGAGATACTGTTCTATGCAGTCTAATCCGACTAGCTCACAGGCTCTCAAGCATCGAGCAAATGATTCCAATTCTTTGTCCATATCAGGTTTCACCAGCACCCATTCTTCATTTTCCCTATAAAACTTACTAAACATCCAGTTATTCACAACTGTAGCATAAGGCCGCCACTGAAAAGATTCACTGGCTGATTCCATGGCCATATCGACATTTTCAACTTTGAGCATTTTAACTATGTGCCATCGAGCCATTCTTGGCTCTCCACATCTGATGGGATTGGGATTAGGCCGCAACATTGGGAATCTCTCCCATGCCCAAAGCTGTACTAATTGAAATGGTGCCCAGAGGGTGACTGTGGTCATTGCCTCATCACATTCACACTTGGTTAAAGCAATCATTGAATTTTTCAACAAACTCAAGTCTCTATAAATGGAAGCAAGAACTGCTGGTGCAAGTGCTATTGGAGTCCCTAGAGAGATGAATTGCAATTGGAAAAAGAATCCTTCTTACCATTCCAAAATTAAATGGGAAGACATACATTGACAGCAACAAGGCAAGAAATGCGTCGTGCTCGAATGGGTCACCGCTCTCCATGAAATGGTTTATCCAAGCAGAATGAGTGCTATTGCCACTGGCTAGTCTGATATCTTTATGAGCTTTGCACAGATGTTCTTCAATTTCAATCAAGTCTTGGGTTTGAATAGGGTTCAAAACCGGGTCACCCAAAACTGAGTAACCACCCAACACCACATATCCTCCAATGTAATAGTTGCTTCACCCCAAGGAAAGATGAAAGTATTGGTGTCAACACACCACCTCTGAGCAAGCCTAATTACCAAATCATTGTGTCTCGGGGTTTGGTATATAGAAGACAAGATTGCATCATATATACCAGCTTTCTTCCATATGTGTTGGTATGCAGGTTGTAAGCGTTCGACCCATAGTCCACCCATTTTGTGGGCCTGGCCGACCCTTGAACTCGATCTTCAATGGGGTTTTGTTAAGCTCAGAAATGGTGGGATTGGAGGAGAGAGAAAGTGAAGGAAGGTCTCCAATGGAGGTGAGAGTGGGATTGAGGAAATGGGCAGTTCTGAGAGATGGGTTTCCACCAGTAGGTGGAACCATGCGCTCCTCTCTCTCCTCCATAATCGTCTCTACTTCTACTGATGATGAGTCGGCCATTTTCGAAAGGACAAAATTAGTCTATCGAGGAGAACAGATTGTGGGTATTCCAGTGTGTGTGTGTGTGTGTGAGAGAGAGAGAGAGAGAGAGAGAGAGAGGAAAGTAATAAGGGTCTTGGTTACAATGGTTGAAGGTCTCTGTTAGCTCAGTGATAGCTGTAGGTAAAGGAAATGGTGTTTATGGTACAGAAAATCTTTAGAGACTTGTACGAAATAATTTGGAGCCAAAGGAAAGGAAAGGAAAGGAAAAGGAAAGGAAGGAAAATGGATGAGGAGAAAGGCAGATGTACATGTAAGGAGTGAGAAGAAATAATTGACGAAATGCAGGGACTTCTTAACCATTTAGAGTCAAAGTAAGGATAGAAAAGAAATAATTTCAGACCATTAGTTCCTCTAATTTTTTTGTCAAAGGAAAAGGACTATCATTTTCTTCTCTCTCTGCTTAACACCAATCTTCCTTTCCTTTCCTTTTCTTTCCTTTGTAACTTCATAAAGGAGCGGAATGAGTTTTGCTCTAGTGAGTCCCACTGTTGGATCCACTTCATTTTATAATTTTCTATTTTTTTATTTTTTTATTTTTTCTTATGTGAATTTTTGTTCCATTTAATAATTTTTCTTCATGAGTTTACAAATTAGATCCTACATTAGTTAAACATGTCAATACCACTAATAATTCAGTGCAAAAAGAGTCCAAATTGACAAAACAACTAGTTTCCAGCCCCCTCCCTTCACTTTGGTCTGCTAGAAATAAAGCTCAAGTAAATCAGGATTAGGAATGAATCATATCATTTATCTCGGAAAATTGTTATCATCTTCACTTTTACTTATATTCACATTTGATATAATACTATCAACTATTTCTTGGACACAAATTCAACTCCCAAAAGTTAGGATTTGAACTAGTAAAATTCAGGTAATAACCACTTGAATATTTGAATCTACAGCTCTTAATCAATTACGCAGATATGCGACGACAATTTTCATAGGTGAAGAAAGCCTGGAATTTGAGACCATCATAAAAAGTTGCCTTTCGTTAGTAGTTCTAACATCCAACTTCTCAGTGGTTTGATGCTTAGCTTCCCTGTAGTCATATTGTTGAAGGATGTCATACCGGTCTCAAGGATGGTGGTAAATGGCATTGGCCTTCTATATGCCTGTTAGAGAGTTGGCCGATTTAATACCAAACTACATTCACCCGTTCTCTTGAGACTAGTTAAGACTCTTAGCTCTCTCAGTTTACGATTGCTTCTCTGTGGAATCACATCAGACCTAGACACAATAAAGTGAACTGGTGCCAAATGCTCTGCCTTAGAGGGCACATACCTAGGCACCCTCAATTTGGCATAATCAGAGCCATGAACTGCGTTTCATGCATCTATTCTCTGAATGCCAGCCACTCATTGTCATCCTTGCCTTAATCCCATTTAAACGGGGTCTGCCAAATGCCAGCCACTAATAGAGTGTGTAATTTATATGGCATCTAAATTGTGCACTCAATGGCCTTCCACAAATTATCTAAACTCTATAGCTTGGGGAAGTGAAAACCTAAGAGGCAAAAGTTTGAGGAATGTGTAAGTAAGCTGGTATTTGCAGCCATCATTTATGTGGCTCTGGAAGGAAAGAAATATGATATATTGTACTCTTAACAGCTACAAGGATGTGGGATCTCTTCAAAGAGATATTGTAGAACTGGTTAAAAGCAGAGAATGCTCTCTATGTCTGGATTTAGCAAGATTCAACAGAATTAATGGTTGAAACAAGAATGGAATTTGCCTCAATGTCTCTTCAAATGATAAATGTCTTATCCAAGTGTTCCTCTCTTCTTATAACAGCCTTCTGTGGGTCTCTGCTCCTGTGTTCCTAGACCACTGATCTCATACAGATGACATTGTCATGGAATCCACCAAAAATAAAAGCCCAATAGTCATTTTCCAGCACAACACACACAACAAAATTTGCATAAATACCAATATCAACCTTATTGAAATCAGATTAAATAAATTCAATGGTATTGTGGATTTTTTCCGGATTTGGCCACATTTTAATCTTTAAAATGTTGCGAAATTAAACAAAGATAAGGAAAAACATATCAAACATACATACAACAAGAACACATAGATTTTTACTTGGTTCATCCAAAACTAGGGTTACATCCAAGGGTTGTTGCAGGGATTTCAATATGATGATGATAAAAAATAAAAAAATAAATAAATAAACTAGAACAACATAACAGAGAGTTGGATCTCTAGAGTTGGGCCTTGGTATATGGTATCTATTAGCTTCCACACTACCCATCATAAAATAAAATACTGGTTGCTAATGAAATCTTTAATTGCAGAGAAGATCGAACGAATTGCAAATTACTTGACATGTATTTGTTTAATGAATAAATTTAAGAACAGATTCAGAAGTCCCAAGGTTACTATCAAAATGTCAAAAAGGATTGAAAAAAAAAAAAAAAAAAAAAAGATGCAACAATGAACAGAAGATGTTATCAGACCATCAAATCAAAGAAAACAGAAGCTCCTTTAAAAAGAAAACAAAAGTTAATATACCCTTAGAATTTCTTCACTAATGCTTGTGTGTGGTACATATAAATATAACAATTTGAGCTACACACTCAGTTTTCCCTCTAACATGGTCATCACCAGCTTCTATGATATATCATACATCAGTATCACAAACTACATAGATATTCTAACTGTTCAACAAATTCAAAAGAGGCATCCTATTTTGGTCATCAGATCAAATTCTTTGCAGTCTTCCCATTTTTCATTTAGTTTGCGAACGTCTACAACGAAAAAGAACCACCAGCCACTTTACAGAGGGACTAGCACATCATTGGTAAGTTGTATGGTAGATAAAAAGTTGTATATATATGGCTCTATGGGTTGTTTAGGCATCTATAGCAGGTTTTTCTCCAAACTATTGCCCAAATTTGCTGCTTTCAGCTCTCCAACCAATTTCTCAAGCTTGCTAATCCGATCCTCAAGTTCCAATCTTCGTATCTTGTCTGGCTCATGTCTAAAACTTTCATCTCCATTCTTGTAGACCCTCATAGTCAGACTCACTCCTTCACTTACATCTGCATCTTCAACATTCCCTTTTGGTCTTCCCATCAAAGTTTTATCCTGCATGCTCATCTCTATAGGTTTCACCAGTGACTCCATATTTCTACCCACACCATTAACCACATCTGAGGTTGAGGAATTCTGAGATTTTCTTGTTGGCAGAAGCTTATGGTCACTAGCTGTTCTGTCTTGGAAACTGTTGTGCTTTTCATAACAAAATCTCAACTTTTCTGCAATTGTTAGTTTATCCTCATCAACATCTTCCACCCTAGTAAGTTTGGGAGGAAAACCAGGAAGAAAGTCGTAATGTCTCAACAATTCTGTAATTGTTAATTTATCTTCATCAACATCTTCAACCTTGACACGTTTGGAAGAAAAACCAGAAGGAACAAAGTCATGATTGTCATTCCATTTTCCTCTAAAAACCCGTGGCAATCTTTTGTATGTCTTTGAACGTTGTTGCCTCACGACGCCCTTGATTGCATCTTTGGAGGCCAACATTGATTGCTTCCACCACTCTGAGTATCGTTTGGTCACATCAGATTCAAAGAGCCGGTATGGTATATATAGTTCAGCATCCATAATTGGCCTGTTGTAGTTTCTCCAAGCAATTTCAGGAGTCTGGTTGGATCGAGTGACATAACCAGGAACATCCTGATCCATCCCGAATTGCATTGCAACGCGATGTGGGAGATACTGTTCTATGCAGTCTAATCCAACTAGCTCACACGCTCTCAAGCATCGAGCAAATGACTCTAATTCTTTGTCCATATCAGATTCAACCAATACCCATTCTTCAATTTCCCTATAGAACTTACTAAACATCCAGTTATTCACAACTGTAGCATAAGGACGCCATTGAAAACATTCACTGGCTGAGTCCATGGCCATACCCACATTCTCAACTTTGAGCCTTTTCACCCAGTACCATCGAGCCATTCTCGGCTCTCCACAGCTGATGGGATTGGGATTAGGCCGCAACGTTGGGAATCTCTCCCAAGCCCAAAGCTGTACTAAGTGAAATGGCCCCCAGAGAGAGACACTCAATCTATCATCATCTTCCCACTCACAATTAGTCCTTAAAGCATTGATTGATTTTTTCAACCAAGTCAAGTCACTATAAATGGAAGCAAGAACTGCTGGTGCAAGAGCTATTGGTGTCCCTCTAGAGAGATGAATTGCAATCGGAAAAGCATTCCTTCCTACAGATTGACCATGAAATGGGAAGACATACCTTGACAGCCACAAGGCAAGAAATGCTTCGTGCTCGAAAGGGTCATCACTCTCCATGAAACGTTCCATCCACACATAATGGCCTACGATTTTAACACGGCCTTGTCTGATTTCTCTATAAGCTTTGTTGAGATGTTCTTCAATTTTAATCATGTCTAGGGTTGGAAGAGGGTTAAAAACAGGGTCACCCAAAACAGAGTAACCACCCAAAACCACCATATCCTCCAATGTAATAGTTGCTTCACCCCAAGGAAAGATGAAAGTATTGGTGTCAACACACCACCTCTGAGCAAGCTGAATAACCAAATCATTGTGTCTAAGGATTTGGTACGTACTAGCCAAGATTGCATCATATATACCAGCTTTCTTCCATACGTGTTGGTATTCAGATTGTAAGCGTTCGACCCATCTATTCCACCCATTTTGTGGGCCTGGCCGACCCTTGAACTCGATCTTCAATAGGGTTTTGTCAAGCTCAGAAATGGTAGGAATAGAAAGTGAAGGAAGGTCTCTTATGGAGGAATTCAGAGTGGGATTGAGGAAATGTGCAGTTCTGAGAGTTGGGTTTCCACCAGTAGGTGGAACCATGAGCTCCTTTCTCGCCTCCATAATCATCTCTACTGATAATGAGTCCGCCATTTTTGAAAGCACAAAATTAGTATATGAAGAAGAGAACAGATTGTGTGCATTACAAAATGTGTGTGTGTGTGTGAGAGAGAGAGAGAGAGAGAGAGAGGGCCTCGGTGGTCACAAAGTGTGTGTGTGTGTCAGTGATAGCTGTAATAAACGAAATTGGGGTTTACATAAATAGTAAAACATAGCAGATTAAAAAAATTTCGCAGGGTCTGAATTTTCATTTTTTGTGGAAACCTTACAGAGGCCTTGTACGAAGTAACTTGGAGCCAAAGAATGGACAAAACTCCACTCCACTCCGTTTTCAGCTGGTTGGGATTCTGTGATCCTAAATGTGCCAGGTCGCTAGATAAAAAAAAGTTACTGATTACTTCTGTACAAGTATAGAATTTTTTTTTACACATCATATCAAATAAAAAAGAAATTTTATACTCCGTACTTTATACCAAATAAAATTTATTTATTTTTTCATCTTTTCTAAAATATAAAATACATACTGCCCTTCTCCTTCGGGGTGGAGCACAAAATCACAAAATTTCAAATCAGAAAAAGAATGACAGAGATGAGAGAAAAATCGTCTCTTGTGTAGGTGCTGGTTGCCTTTTGATGGCCGGAGAGAGCTAAAATGTGAAGCCGGAGAGAGCTAAAATGTGGGAAATGTGTTGGATGGAGTCTGAAATCCCAAATTATGTTGTTGTGTATGTCACTTTGTAAATTCTTTATTTATATTGGGTAAAGGGGAGCAAAAAAAAAAAAACAGAAGGAAATATTGAATGATTCAAGGAAACATTAATAAGCTCCCACATTTTCTACTTAAATCTGGACCGTGTTGTACAAATGAACAATAACAATGCCTTTCATTGGGGTAAAAGACCAAAAAAAAAAAAAAAAAAGTAGACTGATCTTCAACTAAAATTGAGGCGTCAAAAAAATAAGCACAAAAGTCTTGCATTTGGGTTTCTGAAGTTTTGTCAACTATGACTAAATTGTTTCTTGCTTTTTCCCATGGGTTGCGGTATTCTATGGTTTCATCCTTCCATTGACATTTTGTTATTTTTTATGCTGAAAATGCCTCTTTAATATCATAAAACGATCTTCCAACAATTTTTTGAGTTAGCAACGAATAAACAAGTAAAGGCATCAGTTTCAAGTCACAATGAAAATAAATCTAAATCTAACTCCAAGGTAGAAAAACGATCACTTTTCGACTTTCTTTAGTTCTATCACATAAATTGAAATCATAGGTTAGTAGTGCTGGTTTATTGTTTATGTTGCTTAAATGGAGAAACTGGTCTAATGTTTATAATGACAGAAAGTGCCTAAAGAATACTATGCCAATAATAATTTAGCCAATCAATTAGAGACTTGTGATTTTCAATTATGGCAAAGATGAATGCTTGATGAGATTTTTAGGTGCTTGGAAATCAAGGCACATGATAGGCATATATAGCCTTGCCATTTTGAAGAGAACCTTAATTTTCATTGTGGGGTTAAATTTATCCATGTTTAGCCCTCTTTCGGTTGTAGTCGCTCTCTAGGTCTTGTTCCTTAATTTAATAATTAAAAATTCAATATTGCAACATTCAACATTTGCAATCATATCATCATTTGATCATTTGGTTCAGTATAAAAGTGTTATCATTCAATTGCTCATGGAATTAATTTCATTAGAAAAATATGCACCGAATGACTTGTTTGACTATATGTTATAAATCAATTAAGATTGTATTTATATTTCCAACTTCCTTCTATTTCTATTATTTATTTTTTTTGTATACTGGTTGCATTGCATTAGTTTTGTTCAATGAGTTGATTTTAAGTTTGAGAGCTAATTCACATAAAATTTAATTTTGGGGCCTATATCCTACAGGCACTGCTAGTATCGAATGTATATATATTGTTTCAATTATTCAATTCTTTCCTTTTTAAGCGTTTAAAGTGAGACTAATTTATGCACCAAAATTTTAAACTTTAAACTGGATAACAAATTTTTCACTTTTTTTGCTTAAGGTTCTATTATTTGATTTATAATAAAATTGATGGTGGCATTATTATTATTATTATTACTACTATTACTATCAGTGTTTTAATTTATTTAGTAAATGTTATATCAGTGGCTTCATTTATATAAAATTAAAGAGTATATATATGTTATCCACAAAGGAAAACAAGTTGCTTTATTAATTTATTTTTTTTATTAGTAATTTTTTTTAAGATAGTTCTTTTGCAAAAAACTAAGTCTGACAAAAAAAAAAAGTCCAAAGAAATATATATATATATATTTTCAGTAATTAAGTAATTCATATAAATAAAAAGAGTAATTACAAAAGAGGAGGTCATTTCCCTCAGCCCAAACATTACTGGGCAAGTACACAAAGAACAAAATGTCCACTATAGTGGCCCAAAGAACCCAACAAAGAAGTCCAAAACCTGACTGAGCCCATGGTCCCAAAAAATACATCATTTTGCAAACAGGTATGTAACTACCTTCAATCACATCCTCGGGTGGGATGAATCAACAAACCATAAGTATCAACACTACTAGGTTATGGTTAGGGGTGTTGAGCTATTGAGATCAGTGGTAGAGGTGGTGGTGGTGGAGGTTGTGTGTGTTGGGTGGTTGTGAAATGGAAGAAGGGATTTGATTGGGCAGGCTCATAAAATGATGATGGGAGATTCCAATCTACTGCAATTTCTTCCGCAAATGGGCATTCAAATTTCTTGACAGAGAATAGCTTTAGCCTGATTGTATTGATTACTGAGTTCATTGCTTGGACCGGAGGTAATGAGATATTTCTGAACATTCTATTGTTTCACTCCTTCAAAATGTGATAGACATAGCTAGCCAATGTTAGCTTCCAGACCATGACTCTGCTTCTCTTAAGTTTTTGCTTCCAATTAGAGGATGCCCAAATTAGGAAGTCCTTCCAAGAGTTAGGGTTTGTGTAAAACCCACAATTTATGTTGTAGACCAGCCTATACAATTTTTGAACAATCACAGTGGTGGAACAAATGTTTGTGGTTCTCAACAGCTCTTAGACAAAGGATACACACATTAGGTTGCATTGTGTAGAGGAGTGTAGGTTTGTCTTGAGTAAGTAGTTTTTCTTGAATTGTTAGCCACAGGCAGAAGGAGTGTTTTGGTATGGCATGTTTAAACCAGGTGAGCTTATGCCAGTGGGTAGGTGGGATTGGTTGGGTAATGGCAAGAAGTGTATATTTAAGGGAGTATGTCTTGTTGGGTGATGGAGTCCACTATATGGTATCATTGGAGTGAATGTTGCGGAATGGTAAGTTTCTGATATTATAATATGGTGAGACCATATTTGAAATATGTCCAGGCTATGTCCATTGGGAGGTAGTGACTAACGATAATACTTTCATGGATTTGTTGATTAACCATCCCTATCTATGATTGGGTATAATGACCCGAACCCGAGGGTCCAAATCGCTAATCGGGTCCTTACCTGAACCTGAGGTCAACTAAAAACGTTACCATCCTTTCCTATATCAATACATAATATACGTGTTATCCCAGGGTTTATAAATAATAGTAATAATAATAATAATAATAATAATAATAAAATGAAATCATAACTATAAAATATGTCAAACAGTCCACTAACCCATCAAAACTTGTGGATGAACGTTGTCCACCACTTCCTTCCCATGACCTGAAAAATGTTAAAATGATGGGGTGAGCTAAAGGATCAATAGGAAGTGTCTAAGACACACCTCTTGTAACCCCATGAATCCACATAGAGAATAGAAAGCAAGAGAATGAGAACATATCTCGGGAGCCAAGTAAAACCACTGTATCATCAACAAACATACATATCTCAACCAATTACCAAATGCACCATGTATGCCAATGATGTGCCATGCCATACAATGTCACTCCCCGTTTCCAAAACCATAACATTTCACCTTCCAAATGGCTAATGTAATCCGACCCAAGACACCTCTAAGGCGTCACGAAAGGGGGATTGGCTAACCATCCACGACCACAAGGCTCCTCCAAGGCGTCGCATCCGGCCTGATTAGCTCACCCACACTAGGGTCTCTCCCTAGTCCCCTCTCTAGACTATACTAACACCACGGACCACTAAGCGCTTCCTAGGCGTCCGGGTTTTCACAAACACTTTTCAAAAAAATTTCCCGAAACCAATTTCATTGGTTTTTAAAAAATATACTTTTTCCCTTTTTCTTTCCCAATGGATGCATAAATGTTTCATGATTCCAAATGCAAAATTCAACAACTATATTCCATACATTTTACCCATATCATAATCACAACTTATAAAAGAATATTTTAAACATTTATTTCTACGATTATGACATCAAATTTTCATAACAATTGAAATACATAAAGTAAACAACTTGTCATTTTTAAGCATGCTTCTTCACTACAATGATGTAACTAAATTTACAAACTCATTTATCACATAGCATACATGCACCACTTTACATATAATCAACCACAATCACATAGTCAAAATAATTGAAATAAAACATGCTTATAGTCAATTTAAGAAGAAAAATTCATATAGAACCTAAGAAATTGTGAATTAAAGCACCCCTACCTCCAAAGTAGCCAAAGTACATCCCTGGCCGAAAAAGTCAATGCCGGTCAACGCATGTCAACCAAAGTCAACGCCAGTCAATGGCTACGGAACAGAAAACTATTTAGTGGGAACGTAGTTGTCGACGAGGAGATTCTACTATTCCAAAGGCTCAGTTCCGGATTCCGACTCTACGTGACCCAAAACCCCCTCCGAAACCTTAGATCGGAAAATTTCAAAAATTCATAAAATAATCACTGCTCCTCCAAAAATTAAATTCTTTCAATATGTGATAGAGAACGACGAGATGAACGTTTTTTGTCAAGGAACTAAGACCGGAATCCAGACCGATCGGCCAAAAAATGGAGAAGCAAAATTAAAGCTCAAAGAAAAAGAAAATAGAGGGAGCGAGATACTGTGCGAGAGAAAGATAGCAGATGATCT